ATGATATTCATGAAGACGGAGAGTAAAGCACTGTGGCAGAGCGGGGCGATGGGATGAACAAGTAGAACCTTTCACTTTGTAATTGTCTGTAAGTAACACATACAGTAACAATGTCCAAATGTGTGGGTTGTGGGGCCGGGACTAATGTATGAATAAAGAATGTGCATCACCATTCAAACGTGTCTGTTGAGAGTCCTTGAAGTGCAATGCTGCTATTCTTTTTCCCTGGACGGAGAAACAAAGATCAACTTAACTACAGCAGCCTGCTGCATTCTACCAAAAGACTTTTAGGTATTTTACTGCAGGTGAGTTTGATAACCTTCAACTGCATCGACTGTTATTCGGTATGTGTCATTGGTTAAGTTTCAATTATCGATCAGTGCGGTTTTGTCCGTCGATATACTTACGCTTTCTCTTTGATGCATTTTCCATCTTTTCTTCATCTTCTTAATAACAAAGAAATACAGTTGTGGGATGCTGACAGTATTTGCTGTAATGTTTACATGATGTATCATGGAAATTAATACAACCATTAGGTACAGCTACGACTTATATACCTATAACAAAGCACAAACGCCATTTTACATGTGACAGTCACGTTTTTTTCACATGGAATTTTAAAGGTACATCTGTGAAATTAAGCAGTGGTGGAAAGTAACTAAGTGAATGTACTGTACTTAAGTGCAATTTTTACTTGTACTTAACTTGAGTATTTCTACTTTAGGCTACTTTATACTACTCTACTACATTTATCTGACAGCTGGAGTTAATAGTTTCTCTTTCTCTTTCATTTTCTCTTCCCCAACCAGTCAATTCACAACTCCGCAGATTTATCTTGTGACCCTGTGACGAGTTAAAACTTGCTCAACCAGTTACAACAATTAAATCTTTTGAAATCTTTGCACCAGTATTCACAATATGTCAGCTGCACGCCAATATGTCTGATAAAAACTCTGCACTCAAGTTTCACATTTTGAATGCAGAACTTTAACTTCTAATGTAATATTTTCACATTGTAATCTTGATAGTAAGACATCACCTTTGAAACACATTTCTCTTGTTGAATGCATTTTATATGAGGTTGCATGTGATTTTGGACACTTCACATCATATGTAGTGATCATATTTCACATGCCAACACTTTTTGCTTTTTTAAGTAATGAAGATAATGCCTTGTTAGAAAACTCTACCATGATATCTAATCATAGTGCTGCATCTTCAGGTGTGTTTGGACAGTCTACCCTACAGTCGTCATGCCTGTCGTTACTTCAAGCCTGTCTGAAGATCAGCAGAAGAAGCTGCTCTCTCTCCTGGGTGATGTCAGGATTCACCTGCTCTACAAAGCCAGCGTCCACGGCTTCACTGCTTTGGCTTTTCACAACCGCTGTGACATACAGGGGCCCACTGTCATCGTCGCCTACAATGACGGTGGCTTTGTCTTCGGGGCCTACACCTCTCAAGTCTCTGATGAGGAGGCCTCCCTCTACAGCCTCAGCGCAGGAGGAAGCAAACCACTGAGGGTGGCAGGTATCAACCGACAGTGTGCTTTCACAGATGAAGCCACCGGTCCGAATTATGGTGCCTTGGTGTTCCTGCATGAGAACGTTGCTAAGATCATGTCCAACCCAGGGGAGAACTTCACCTTTCAGGCTGCAGAGATGCACGGAGAAGACTTGACACTGACTGAGTTTGAAGTGTATCGAGTTGAAGGTGTGTGGTGATAAGGATGTGTTTTATCTTTAAAGTAAGTTTTTATACTGAATTAGCTTATGTGTTGATTCATTTCTGCAATGAACTGACTAAGAATGGCATTGTTTTATTAAAGTGGACTGTAGCAAACTAGTGTTGAATAAAATATGTCATCATGTTTCAATTAACTTATATGAACATTCCTGCAGGTTTGGGAGATCTTCTGGCCAAACCGTGGAGGAACATTCGCTGGACTGCGGAGTATGTAGAAATCTTTGGCAACTTTTGCCACAGTTAATAAAAAAGGTGTGACTCGAGTAAATGGCAAAAGCAAAGAACCAAGTGTCTAAATCCACCTCTTATTTACGACTAACTTTGCTTTAAATAGAAAAATATGTACACATTTTGTATTATTGTTGTGAGATTGTCGCCTATTTTAATTTGTAATTTAAAGAGAAACTTAACAGCAGCTTAAAGTCTGGTCTTTGTCGACCTCCAGTGATTTAACTCCTCACTTTGCTACAGTGATGTAGAACTGTACTCCAAGGTGTGTAGATACACTGTGACATCACTGTTGGGTGTGGTTACAGGTGCAACACGCTTGAAACCTTCAATCTTTCTACATTAAACATGACCATTAAACTAATCCTCTGCAGCTAACTTGTATTAGAGATGTAGGCTTAAATGTCTTGTGTATCATTGGTGTTCCCTCCAGGAGAAGGCAGCAGTTGATGAAGGACATTCAGAGCTATAATCCTGAGATCAAAACAGTCCAACAAGCCCGAGTGTCGTTGGTGGGGCCCGTCGGAGCCGGCAAGTCGACCTGCTTCAACTCCGTCAACTCTGTTTCGAGGCAACATGACATCCCAGGCCATCGCTGGTACAGCAGGGAAGAGTGTGACCACTCAGGTGCTGGCACAAGTTTTACTCTTTGTGATACTCTGCAGATATGCTGAAGGTGAACTGTGTCCGTTGTTTTTGCTGCAGCCTAATCGTGAATGTCAGCTTATAACCTGCAACAAAAACAGCAGAGAAAAAGGACAATATTTTACATTTTGTAGTTCATATACAGGTTGACATGCTTTGATTGTAATATGAACGGATTCCACATGCTCTAATTATACTACATTTATGTCGCTCCTGCAGTTCCGCACCTACACCATCAAGGCAGGGAAAGGTGGTGGACTTGTTCCTCTGATCCTGTGTGACACAATGGGGCTGGAGGAAAACGCTGAGGCTGGTTTGAACATTGAGGACTTAGTCAACGTCTTCAAAGGTCACATAAAGGATCGCTACCAGGTCTCGTATAACTATCTACCTAATTGCCCACATCTTCATCTAACTGATTTCGTGGTAAGAATGTGGGATGCTTTGTTGAGTGATTAATAACAAATGATTCTCTTTCTGCTTTATTTGTTCCTCAGCTTAATCCCTTAACGCCACTCCAGATGGACTCTCCTGGCTTCAAGAAGCAAGCGACCCTGAATGATGCGATTCACTGTGTGGTTTATGTGGTCGACACCTGCAAGGTCTCCCTCCTCACCCAAAAAATGCTGGACAAGTTTGCTGACATCCGTAAAAAGACCAACAACCTGGGTTAGCAGTATAAGAATATTATTTTTATCGTGGTTCCACCATTTCACCGTTTATATCTTGTTAGTTTTTATGTTGAAATAGTTATATTACAGACACGTCCAACATCTACACAAGAGTTTTCTTTGTGTACAACAATTAATTTAGCCTTTTCCCATGCTGAATTATATTTCTCTTGTTGCTGTAATGAATCTTAGGGTCAGTAAACTTTGACTTTATCTTCTCGGCTATTTCAATCTGGTCTTTTCTACTACCTTTTCTTCTGCTCTCTTATAGGTATTCCTCAGATTCTGCTGATGACTAAAGTAGACGAGGCCTGTCCGCTGGTGGCAGAAGACTTAAAGAATGTTTATCGCAGTGTTTACATCCAGAGGAAGGTAACAATCATCATGTTAAGATGCTCAACACAATCATGAGAACAGCGATGCTGTAATCAATGACTTGTTTTTGTGTTGGCGTTGAGATTCTAACCCATGTCCATTTATTTTGCCGTCTTTCAGGCACGGGAGTTGAGTGAGTTTTTTGGCATCCCGTTGTCCTGTGTGCTGCCAGTGAAGAGCTACAGTGATGAGCTGGAGCTGGACCAGAATATTGACATACTGCTGTTGACTGCCGTGGAGCAGATGCTGAACTACACAGACAGCTTCTTTGAGAACCAGGTTATCGAGGACCAAGAGGTGGTTGATCATCAGGAGCTCTACAGATCCAATGATCTTACTCGTCCAGTTCTATCAGAACAAACCAAACATCATGTCTGAAAGACAGGATCACGATTTCCCATATCTCAATAATTCAAGCCAATGAGTCGGTTGATCAAATATATCAAAAGAAATGTGTGGTTGTTTAAATAGTTTAACTTTTGATATATAGCTGCCAGCAGTATAACATTACATTACATTACAGTCATTTAGCAGACGCTTTTATCCAAAGCGTAACAACAACTAAAGACAAAGGAATGGTGCCGATTTCGCACAACTGAATATGTTCATACTACTTTCTGTAGTTTGGGTGAATTGACTCTTACATCAAGTTCAGTGTTTATGTTAACTACTTTTTTTTTTTTTTACTGTTTAAGGAACTTTGAATGCATTTGCGTGTATTTTCTGTTAAAAATGCATTATATCTGTTATCTGTCATTATACAGTCAGACAATGGAAATAAATGGATTAAGGTCTTTGGCTGCACGAATGTCTTACTTGAACATGTTTACATAACTGAATTCAAACTATTGTGACTTTCAGTTTTACAACAGTAGAAAGGTTAGTCAGACTTTTCTTTCCCTCAGTCAGCCACCAGATGTCAGTCATAATTTCATAAACTGGTGTCCAGTTATGCAATCTTGGATGTTGTGAAAAGACGAGGAGCTCACGTTGCACAACTCCATCTGCACAGCTCGACATACTCACGAAGTTTACTTTTACCAATGAATTTAACTGGTATCATTTTGTTTAATGCACATTTAGCAACCATGCCTATGCACGCGCACATGTTTTATTATGCACCGAGATGTCACGCAGAGCAACAAGGCTGACTGACAAAGCAAATGTACTCCTATATCGTGTAACCAAACAAACAAACCACCAGTCCACATGACAAGGAGAGACGTTGAGTTTCTTTGGAGACAATTGCAAAACTCGTGTGGTTTCGGTCCCGCCCTCTCCTCAGCCCCGGTATAAAGAGTGTGACGTAACGTTGCCAACAACAAACGCTGCCAACGCTGCTGCACTGACGCACAGAGGGACTAGTGAATCCACCAGACTGCTGTCACGCTTTTCTCACGGGGTTACGTTTTTTTGACTTGCAATCATGATTCCAGAGGAAAGCTTTGTGTCCATCGAGAACAGGTGAGATATGGCGCTCGGTTTTTCTGCACTTTGTCAGATGTGGCTGTAGTTTTATGGCCGTCTGAGCCATGTGGACGGACATCATGTGCTGGACAGGAATGCTTCTCTTGCCTCGAGCCTTGCATTGCCTGAACTGCTGAGGCACAATCACACTTTGAGTTTAGGTTGAAGACTTTATCTTTCTTGGGTGCAGATATTTTCAGCACCAAATACTTTGATATACATTTACCTCATTAAAGTTTGACCGCATAATGCAACTTTTAAAAGTTGTTGCATAATCTTGTTTTTAAAAACATGTACTCTAATTATTCATATTTTATAACGTACTTGCACAATAGACTTACTGTGCATGCATGTTGCACAGCCTGCATTAAGGCAAGTCCCTCTTTATTTTATCACAATCATCCACATGCATCATAAAACTAATGGGACTGGAGGAGTAACCTCTGATTGCTTTTTATCTGTCTTCTCTAGGACTTTCTTTTATTAGGTAAAGGTGTTTTAACAGCATTTAATGAAATGGGTTAATACAATATTAGACCTATTTGTTAAAGAACTGCAGCATGTGTATGACATGACCATTGTGAGGACTTTTTTTTTTTTTTTCAAGCATGCAAAACGTTAAATGTTATGTTTTGCCCTCTCAGGATGCAGTCTGTAGGTCTGGCTCTGGAGGAGTTGCTGGTGACGGCTCAGAAACAAGACTGCCTGACCGTTGGCATTTATGAATCAGCTAAACTTCTTAATGCGTGAGTTGAAACTATTAAGTTTAGCCAATGCCTGTAATGTTTAAGACTCACAAGTAGATGCTTCTCTTGTATTTCAGAAAATAACTTGTGTACTTGAGTGCAAGTGTCTGCCTTAAACTCACAATTTTCTAATTTTCTCCTCCCTCCCCAGAGACCCGGACAGTGTGGTCCTGTGTGTTCTGGCAGCTGACGATGTAGACGATGTGGCGCTGCAGATCCACTTTACCCTGCTACAGTCCTTCTGCTGTGACAGCAGCATTACCATCCTGCGAGTCTTAGGAGTTCAGCGGCTCCAGCAGCTGCTGGGTGCTGTGGATGCCAGAAACGAGGAAGAGCACGGAGACCTCCACTGCATGCTGGTTACGGTATGTTGACTCAGCACAATAGCCCTGTGTTATGTAACTGAAAGGCCAAGAATGCATTACGGAGTGTTGTCATGCAGTGCTGTAGGTGAAATGTTGTGATATTGGCATTATTTGAGTGAATATTTATTGCATTATATTCTGCAGACCAAATTCACCTTAGAGGCTGAACATGAATTTGATGTTGTCTTTGTTTCATGTCTAGAACCCCCAGGCCGACCACTGCAGGCTACAGGAGGTGGGGACCTACTGCCAGGAGAGTCGACGCCTTGACCAGTGGGTACCTGAACTGGCTCTGCAAGAACGCTGAAGGGTCTGGCACCCGCATACACCAGCGAAGACTGGAGCTTTCTGGGTTCAGGTGCTAATGAACTGAGGGATCCGTTGTTGCTCATGCAGGAATGGCCTGGAGTGAACTGGGACGGGCTATCCTGACTGATAAGCAGGAACCAAGTACTTCCTTTCAGCAACTAGTGAAACAACCAGAGTGGAGACCGGTTTACAAAATCTGCATTGTGCAGGAGATGCAAACAGAAAAGCAGATTCACATCCAGGACACATTGTTTTTTTACATTGTCTGTAAAACTAAATCAAAGCTTCTATTTTCTTCTTCTGTTTGGCTGCTTGCAATGTTCATGGGGGTGTGACAATCAATAACAGGAGTAGCAGCATCAAAATAAATGTGTCCGCACCTCAACTTATACCTGGAAGACCTGTGTTGTTTGTAAGGACAGGACAGTACAGGAATGCTGTAATGAAACTATGCCCAGCATTCCTGTGTATTCTGACATGGGAGAGCCCTTGGAGAGAAGGTGTGTGTGAATGTGTGGTATGCTTGTACAATACTTGACTCTTTCTTTAGAAATGACTGGGCGTGCAGCATGTGCGTTCTTCAAATGAGCAGCTGAACCTGCGTAGGAATCGTCACCATGGAAACTGAAATAGAAATGATGTTCATGTTAAAGTCACACAGGATTTATTGGCAATTCAGGACTACAAAATGTCAATGCATATTTCTTTTATTGTCGACGGAGAATACTGAACTGATGAAAAACATCTGCTGTAAATTGTCATTTTGCTGCAAAAGAAACCGTAGTCGATATCTTTGTGCTTTCAGGATGCTGCTTTGTTTAGACGCTGTTAATATAATATGAACGGTGCTACACTAGTAATTTATTGATTGTATCCATTGTGCGTTTGGCTATTTAAGGTCTAATTGTGTGCTCTGTTATCTAAGTCAATAAATTATTGTATTCATAATTGATTTACTTCTATATCAAGAACTTCATGCTCAAATTTCAAGACAAAAGTTTTGCATCATCGAACTGGAAAAATTGCTGAGTTTACATTTGGGTTGAAGTAATGGGAAAATGATGCACACTTTAAGCTCATTCTTTGTTGGTGACGGGGCCTTACAAATTGTCTGGCTAGCTCCCTTGTTGTAGTAAACATTAGTCAGAGAGACAAACTGGGGTTGAGACAGAAACTCTTTGTGTTGGAACAAACAGGCAAAGCAAGCTGACACAGACCCGCTGTCCCTAGTCAAGAATCCAGGGGGAGGGGGAAGCTGACAGAAAGAAATCAAGTTATCTGCTCAAATGTAGAATTTAATATCCCAAGCCCTTTGCATTGTAGTTGTGTACATGTTTCACATCACATTATGACGCAAAACCTGTGAATGCATGTTGTAGAGGGCTTGGACCTTAACCCTACCCGTGCCATGGTATCTCAACATAATCAAGTATAGCAAGATGTACCTGCAACACAGTACAAGTAGCTCATCCTGCCCTCTGCCCTCCTCCCACTCTGTTTTGTTTCCAACTTCACCCTCTGCTCTCACATGTCTGTTCACTTTCTCTGACTGCAAAACATAAGGGGGAACATTCAGGCACATGCACCTCCCATATGTTTACTATCCACTATAGTACAGGGGTGTGGCTAGCATGGGTACTGACCTCTGATTGGCTCTGGTTCATCGACCCTAAATCTGATTGGCTTTGACTTGCTGAGGAGTTTGGAAGCTGGGAAGGGACGGCAATGGGTTGAAACTTGGAGGAGACCCTTGATTGATGAAGCAATGCTTCAAAGGGCACAGAGACAGCCAGGGGACTTGTAACAATTACATTCATGCCCCAAGGCTCTACTTAGCAGTGCTCTTTGTTTGCTCTGTTCTTTGTTTTGTCTGTTTGATGCAACAAGTATTCATCTTTGCATTGTACACTATGTACCAAGGGAGCATGTGTGTCTATGTGCATAGAATACCTGTAAAGTGAGTGAGGAAAAAAAGCCAGGCCTTCCTACTCAGAGCACAGAAAGACAAAAAGACTGAAAACATATTCTGTAAATTGCAGCTAAAAATGAACAAGAGTAAGTGTCTACAGCCATGCACAGATGGTATATGAGACTATATTTATGTTGTGTTTATGTCATATTGGAGTTTGTCATAATTAGCATATGAATTATTGAGTTATGGCCAAAAATGTGTTTAAAGAAAACCATCCAGGCGTTCCTGAGATATCGCGTTCATGAGAATGGGATGGATGGATGAACAGAAAACCTAACGTGTCCACGGCTATCGCCGGCACGGAGGTAAAACAATTACACAAGAGCGTGTGTTATTATATCATCTTTTTATTAATGTCATCTACTTTTCAATATCATCTTTTTAACAGCAATATCGACAAAATATTAACAGTGTGCAAGAAAACATGAGTTATGGCACATCAGAGAACAGTTACAAAAAATAGATATATTTTCTTCATAATCAATCAAGGCAAAAAGATACATATACTATATGCATACACAGGAGAGCAGAACACAAAAGATGAGTCTCCGGAAGAGCTCAGAGCCGATTCAGTGATGTTTGATTTAAAAGTCCACCAATGAGGAGCCTCAGCTCTCCCCCAACCTGACCTCAAATTAATTTCACTTTCACTGCACGCTTTGTGTCACAAAACCAGTGGATTTCCATCTCGAGCCATGTGTTCTACTTCAACACTGTTCATTCTGCTGATCTGATAACCCCAATACCAGCATTAACACAATATACGGCACTATAAGGCAAACTAACAACCAACCAATCACACAAACTGTCAGCCAAACCAGAACTTTAGGCCGGCTGTCTCTGATTTTAAGCCCAACCAGATATGGAATGATTGAAATAACAATAATGATAAAAAATAGCATCTGTCAGACATCTCCAGGACAACATCAGTGTGTGTGTGTATGTGCGTGCGCTGATACGCGTGCATGCTTGTTCTATGTTGTGCGATTCCTCTGCAGTTGTTATCTTCTTTGACTTTAGCTGCACCTTGCAAACTTTTAGTTCAGATGTTCGGATTCTGCAGAAAGCAAACCCCAGATCAGTAATTCTGGGTTACCTTCTACCTTTCCCCGCAGTTTGCACTCAGATCTCTGTTTGTGCATTATGTATCTTCAGCTGGATCCTTGTTTTTTATTCTATTGAAAGACCACCATTCATGTCAACCTAAATCAGGTTGAAGATAAAGGGATTTATTTAATTTAAAGGAATAGTTTGACATTTTGGGAAATACAAATAATGGATAAATTGCTGAGAGTCTTGAGAGGATTGAACCCTTTTCTTCTCGGTTTGATAAATATGGAGCCACTGCCAGTAGCTGGTTAGCTTAGCATAAGGACTAGAAAAATGGAGCCTATGTTGCTTGGCTAATGCTGACGGCAAGACTAAGATATCACCTGTTCCTTGGTGAGCTTTAGAGGTGACAGGTAAGTTATACCTTTGGAGAGAGCCAAGCTAGCCGTTTACCCCTGCTTCCAGTCTTTAAGCTAAGCTAACTAGCTGCCACTTTTAGCTACATATTGAACTGACAAATATAAGTGTGGTATCAATCCTCTCATCCAACTCTCTGCTGAGCAAATTAGCATATTTCCCAAAATGTCAAACTATTGCTTTAGATCTCTAAGGCTTTCATGAGTGGTGAAAACATATTGCAGCTCATATAATGTAGCTGAATCAGGCACAAGCTAAACAGAAAAATAAATTCTTTGTCTGCTTCGTGGGTTGGGGTTATTATTGGTCATCACTTCAAAAATAGCTTCCCACACTTCAACTGAACGATTTTATCTTGTGACAGAATCCTTCTTTACTCTTCTCCAGAATGAGCATCTTACAAATAAAAAGAGTGAGTGGAGGCCGTGCACGATGTTCTGAATCAGACAGCGTCACATGACCTCTCCTCCGGTCAGAGTTACCCTGACCTGGAATGGCAGGGCTGCAGTACTGTAACATTACTATGTGGCACTCTGCAGAGCGCCAGAGGCACTGTGTGTTCTTACACACTGTGACTCTCGCACTAACAATTGCTACATCTCTATTTTCTCTTCTCTGCCTATTGCTCTGCCAAATCATCCCTCTCATCCGCCAAACACTTTGCACCCAGCACCCACCCGCACGTGCACACACACACACACCCACACGCACACACACACACACACACACACACACACACACCCTTAGCTCCCTCTATGGCCTTTCTCCAGCTTCTGCTCTCTTCTTACTTTGGGCACCGCCAGCTCTGTGTTTGTAACAAAGACAAATGAGGAATGAAGCTGGCCCAAGAATCATTGCCTACAGTGAACATATTGATGCTAATTAGCAATTTAGCCTTGACTTCAAGCACTCTGTTAGCTTAGCTTAGCATAAAGACTAGAAGTGGGTAAATATAAAGCCTGGCATTGTCCAAAGGTAACACCAGCACCTCTGAAGTTCACCCTGCGCAAAAAAACCACAACTTGTCTTTTTTACACTTTGATTTTCATACAGATTAAACTAAAAAAAGGTTAACTAGTGTGCTTTAAAGGTGTATGTACTTGGGTTTTGATACCTGTGGACAAGGCCAGGCTAGCTGTTTCCCCCTATTTCCATTTATTATGCTAAGCTTAGGTAACCTAACCGGCTGTTGACTGTAGCTTCATATTTACCATACAAACATGACATTGGTATCAATCTTTACTAAATCCCAACTCCCAAAAGTCAGTGCAGCAGGTGTCTCATATTGACGTAGTGATTAGAGAACAGAAAAGCGATGGGTTCAACTCCCCTTACAGTCACTCGGCAGCCGTAAGTCCTGTCTAAATCACTCCACCCTGCTTGCCACTGTACGTTATGCCTCACAAAAGCCTTGGATAAATGCTCAGATGTAAATATGATGGCAAAAAGCTCCCTGCTTTCAGCAATTAACCGTTAAAAGCAGCTCTCAATGCACAGCCTTGCCACGCCTTTGACCCCTGACAATCAAACCTAAAAAAACAACAGCAAGAGAGAGTGTGTTATGTGCATGTGTGTGTTGTCCTAGTTGCCTGTCGCCCACCAAAGCCAACACTTGATAAAAACTTGACCGCTCTGGTGTTAAAGGATAGATCAGGAGGCTGGTTTTTGCCACTGGAATGAGGTCCGGTGTTGATGAATCCTCTAACAGGAAACGACCCTAAACCTTACAGGGCTTTTGTTTCCATCAAGTGTTTGTATTGTATTGGTGGTTAAAACCATCCTCCGCTATCGCGAGCCTCTATAAACCTGAATGACAAAAACAAAAATGAAGACAGACATGATCTTTGACTGACAGAACAGAATAAGTAGTACCTAAAAAAATCCAACATCCACAGTAAGGGATTCTGTGTTTAGATTTTGTCTCTTACAAACACTGTACAGGGTAATACTCAACTGACCAGGTTCCATGGACTCCATAGAAAGAAGAAACTCAAAAAATAAACCCAAAACAGCTACTCTTCAACTTATCACTTCTGCACATGTCTGAAAGAAAGTTTATACATTTAGTTTGTTTCTCTTGACTTCATTTTTTTTTCACTTCAGCTTTTACAATCAAGTTTGGTTTGTCAGAGAGGAGGAGCATTGTGGAGGAGAGGACAGCTCAAAACCAGGAGGGGACAGCTGGCTCCTACCGATCCAGTCCCTGACCAGTTTGAGCTCATCTACTCGGGAGACTGGAAATTTGAAAGACGGGTAAAGCCAGGTAATTGTTATTCTATTCTGATTTAAAGCAATACTTATTCTTATGCATTAAAACAAGACATATCCCCTTCCTCTATACTACAGAGGCAAACTAAAACACTTCCACATTTACACAATCCAATGCAATATATCTCTTCCCATAACCTTGTAAAAAATGCCAATCAAATGAATCAAACATAAGCAGAGAAAGTAAGAAATAATTAATTTCTAATCTTCAGGACAGCTTCACTTTTACTTTTTAAGTTTGGGTTTTTCTCCTCCAGCCTTGCAGTCCTTGCAGACCGATTCTCATGTGTGGTCAGTCTGCGACCTCTCCCTCTTTCAGGGTAAAGCACAGGGAGGCTTGATAGGAACTTCAGTTTAAGATTCGAGCAGGTAATACCCCTGGCTTACAACCAGATCTCCTGTTGTTTCATTAATGCTGGCATTTAACGTCAGACAGGAAGAGAAACCTGATCAGCCAGGGGCAACACCTATGTCAAAGCAAAACAAAACAATACAGTATTATCTTATCTATTAAGTAATGCTTCAACAAAATATCAAAACGTACGTTGAGTTCACAAACAGGTATTTGTTAATAAAAATGCAGTAAACGTCCAGGGTTAATAGCTTGAGTTCTGTGTAGAGCAGTTGTTCCCCTCATAGGTGCAGATCTGAGGTCAGCTTAGACATCGATTTCGACCAACAGCAGCCATAATGAACTGAAGTGGAATCGATGACAGCAGATCAGCATCTAGAGATGACTTTCTGCACAGGTTGGCACAGCTGGAGGTTTGGCCAGAGGCCACAGGCAGAGAAGGTCTGTTGAAACAGGTTTGGGTGGGAACATGCTAGCCCGATAAAGGCAAAGGCTTTAGCCACTCGCTCCAAAATTACCCTGCACAGGCAGGTTCGTGGGCAAAGCTCTCAGACCTTTTTTTTAACTCCCACAAAAAAAAGCTTTTAATGGGACACCAGGTCATGTTTGGCACGGTCGGCATAAGCGGCTACCGTCCATTTCTGTTGCCCACATGCATCCTCCCACTCCTTGCCTATGGCACTGCTGTCCGCCCTTTACCCAACCCCTCATTTCATGACAAGAGAAGGAAAAAAAGATCCTGGTTTCCTACTGATTATTAATGTCCAATTCCCTTTTAAAGTTAAGCTGACACTTGTAGTTAATTTACCAGCACATGTGAATATTACCAAAAGCACCTTGGATCATACTCAGTGATATACTGATCTCAGCCACCGAGAGAACGAGATACCTGCACCCTAGCTGTGGCTACGGGGTATGGCGCTTTTCCAGAGAGGCTATTTTGGGAGTGTGTGTGTGTGTGTTTGTGTGTGTGTTTCCATGAGTGTGTGCATATGCTAAACTTGAAGTGTGTGTTTGCATGTGTGTGTCGAGGGATCAATTTAAGTTTTGAATGTGTGCATGTAATGTGTGTCTGTATGTGAATGTGTGTTTGTGTGGCAGGAGGAGCGTAACGCGGCTATAGGATGATGCAGGGCTTCTTGTCCTTGAAAGGGTTTTCAGAGGTGGGAACCCCGACCAGCAGAGGGTCGCCACGAGCGTGCTGCTCACAGTAACTCATCAGTTCTGCTGCTGCTTTAGAAACCTGTTGGGAGAGAGAGAGAGGTGAGGGATTTAAATAGGGGAGGATATGTGGAGAGAAATTAGACAAGTAGGGGAAAAGAGGAAAGGGGGGGAAGGAGAAGAAAGTGAAAAGTATAAGGAAGGAAAGGGCAGATGTGGATGAATAATCACGCTCACAACAAACATGGCAGTAAACTATCGTCCTACCTTAATGCGTTCAATCCCCGCCTCAATCCTCAGCTGTTCCACCAGTTTCCTGGCCTGGGCGATATTATTAGTGGTAGACATACTGATCCATCAGAATACACCAACACAGGAGAAAACTGTACGAGAGAGAGAGAGTGAGAAAATGTTTGCGACTAAAAACACTGGAACATAGTTTTGCATTTACAGACCGACATGCTTCCGATGTGTTCTGATATGTGTCTGGTGTGTAACCAGGACAAGATTGAGGGTTGACATTTCTGGCTTGGAAATTTACATTTAAAAGGAAAGCAAATATATTGTGAGTACGTATATATATTGTATTCTATAACACATAAAAGGTACATTTGTTGCAGTCAAGTTGTTGATTGTTGATGGTGTAGCTACATACATTATCCAAACACCTTTGCTGTTTTAACTTGAGTGTTTTCATTTTATGCCCCTTTGTACTTCTATTTCACTACATTTCAGATGCAAATATTGTACTTTTTACTCAACGTCATTCTTCTGACAGTTACTAGTTGCTTTACAGATTATACTATTCATAAAGTATTTTAAATTAGCCACCGTAGACTTAGTCCAACTACTGACCCGCATTAAAAGGCTGCTTGGACATTAATGCATCCATGTTAATCATCCAATAATATATTATATAATAATATAGCATAACAAGGGCAATTTTCTGCACAATGAGCAATTTTATCTTTGCTACTATACATTTAGTTGATGACACTTCTGTAGTTTTTTTAAAGTCATCAATAGCTTTATTTTGAGGACTGAATGGCCTCAGCTGTAGAGTTATAGCACCACTGTGTGGTGACTACATGGTAGTGCGACACTATTAATGAGTGAAATATGGCAGTTTCCTGATCAAAACACAGTTCATGGAGATGATATGCATAGTATAACTAAGGCTGGAGCTTGACTTAACAACCTGAGAAATATTTGTTGAATAAATAGTCTATCTATCTATGTTAGTCATTCATACTAAATATTCTTCAAGCTTTTAGCACATGAGATTATAGATTGTTACCTGAGTGATGGTAGGCCGACAGGACTCTCTGATCACGAACGTGACTGGATGGAGATCTGAGCGGTGCAGGCACGACCAGAAAACGGTTGCCAAGTCAAAACGACAGAGCTGGACTGCAGCTGAGCTCACATTGGCTTGTCTCTGTAAAAAAAAAAAAAAAAAGAAGAAGAAAAAAAAGCAGAGCAGGTGAGATGGCTTCTTAAACAGTTCCAGGTTACAGACAGGCAAACATGTAATACTTTTAAGAATGTTAGTTTTCTCCATTTACGTTGTCATGTCACGAATCCCAAACTGGATTTAAGATGTTGTTCCAGCTGTAGTGTAGTGTAGTGTGCATGGTGATACAACAACTGTGAGAGAGAAATCTGCATTAGAATAGTCATTCTTGCACAATTTTGAGTCTGAATAACAGCTGACTTCAGTTAGAAACATCTCAAACTATCCCATCATCAGCCTTAGGATTTATACTACAACATCTGTCATCACAATTTCATGTTTTGTCACAAAGCACCGCTTGAATGACCAGGTGGTAGGACACTGCTGAATTGCTCATTCCAAAAAAAAGTCCTGTCATACCTGTGCTATCAAACATTAATTTAAAAACCTCCTTAAACCTCCGTTTATTTTCGTTTACAAGTCTTTTAGCACGGTGTAGAAGTTTCCCAAACAGTGATCAAAACCGCACCTTGCTCCTCACGTTCATCACTGTGAGAGTGTTACGACTTTGTGTCTCTCTGTCTGTCGCCCTCTCTCCCGGGAGGAGAGTCCTGCTTTAATTACTCCTACTGCGGAGTAGCTCAGAGATTCATGTCTGTAATTAAGGCTTTTGTGTGTGTGTGTGTGTGTGTGTGTGTGTGTGTGTGTGAGAGAGACAGAGAGAGGGGGAGAGAGAGAGAGAGAGACAGAGAGAGAGAGAGAGAGAGAGAGAGAGGAGGGTGTGAATGGATTTGTTTTATTATAACACATGATACAATTCTATCTCTCTGTATCTGCACACACATTAGTATCATACTTCTGACATTTATTAATTGTCTCCCAACCTAACCCTAATTCTAAATCCTAATCCTGATTTTAACGCTGAGCCCAAATCCTAATCCCAACTAGACCCTTAGAGGCAAAGAGGCAAAATGCCGCGATTTTAGAGGGTTTCTTTTTTCTTTCAGCCATTTGTTCTGTGTATTTGTTCTCTCTCACACATGCAAACTTGTTTTTGACGGTATTGAATTGACTCCCTTAATTCCCTGGAGATTATAGTGGGCGTATAGATACTGTTGACGTCTTGTTTTTAGAAACACTAGCAGCAATATAACTGTAGTGTGACGTTAGATTGTGTTCTAGAAAATACAAACACTTGTTAGTTCCTCGTTAGATCAGATAATTAACACACAGCCATTTAATTTAAGCATAATAACATAGCAAAATGTATTCAGAGGTAACCTATTAATGATGAACTTCCCTCAGAAATTATGGCACACCCCATAAAATGCTTTGAATAGTAAAAGGTATTGGCTCTCTTATTATTGTGTTGGATTTTTATGGGGATATCACCCACCCTGGGAATTTACCCTACGATTCGCTTATAGTCCACTTCATGCCTGAACCCAACCCTGACCTGAATGTAACCCTAACATTAATGAAAAAAACTATTTTCAACCCTATGTAATGGTTTACCTCCTGATCTTTGTCTCTAAGTAGGAGGTGAGTGTGTGTGAACAGACCACCTTTCCATCACAACATAAGTTCTCATTAGCTGTCAGGGTTTAACAGCCAACTACAAGCTCATTAAAGGAGTATTAGTTGTCAACCCCCTATGGTTCTTCTAAAACACCTTTTCTTACAGCATGTGAGCAAATATTGAAACGAGGTGACAGCACTTTTCTACTTTTTGTTTACAAGCTGTTGTACCTTTCACAAACTACATCGCTTCTGTTTTTGAGAGTGAACATTCAGATGCAAATGATGGGTTTGCTCAGAAATGTATGTTTTCATATTTCCCCTAATGCATTAGCAACAAACGTGGCACCTCGCAGGGACAGTACAATTTCAGACTTATAGCCTAAATGACGTTTTTCACCCATCAGTGACATAATAAACCCAGTGCCTGCATCTGTTGATTTTTCAAACTTTCTGCTACGGCGCATTCCGTGCTATGAGAAGGAAGATGAACACTTCAAAACCAGCGCAAATGTCAGTTTCTGCCACCTCCACGGTCAAATCTCTCTTCTCCCCCGCACGCAAATTGACAACACTTTCTTGCAAAGACGGTGCACATGAGGGCTAACATATACAGTAAGCAGGTCATTTGTCTCGGCCTGGACCAAAAACACCACCTGTGCTGGACAGGCCGTGGTCAGCCAGCCAGCCTGCGAGCACACAGCCGCTCTCAAGACGCGCAAACATGTATCAACCCTTATTGATCCTAGCAACTCCTGAGCGCTGATCGGGCCTGCAGTACGGAGCCATGTCCTCCGCTATAGGCCCTGCTTGCTGCTCTACCGTGTGAAAACACAATGCGGGCATTTTGATGGATAGAATAGCATGTCCTCTCTCTCCCATGGCTATCCACACTCCACACACGCATACACACACACACACACACGCACACACACGCATACGCACAGTGCGCGCAAGCACAGGCAGACCTTTTGTGTACATATCAAAACCAGAGTGAAGACCAGACTAGACCGCTTCGGGTTTGCAAATAGGCCCTGGTTGTTAGCCGTGGGAGCAGGGTGGTGACATGTTTTGAGGGAGGCAAGCTCCAGCAGCCAATATAAACCCATCCAGCGACAATGGGCACAAGACTGGAGCGCATGCCTTTATGTTCCGCTATTATGCAAATTGATCGGCACACGGCCTACTTCAGCACATCAAATCTAGAGGTTTTTTTTGGATACAGTGGCTTGTGCGTCCTCAGAGTCCAGACGAGCTGTAGGAAATCTTCCACTGACCCTTTCCCCGGTCCTCCCCACCCTCTATGCCGGCAAAGGGCTGGGGAAAACCGGATTCGTGACACCGATGAAGCCCCTCTCCGCTGCAGCCGCCCTCGGTGACGAGAAGCCGGGGTTACAGAGGCGCACGGACGCGTTACAATTATTATACACAGGGAGAAATATAACCGAATATCTCCAAACTCACCTCCGAATGCGCTGTATTGCTGATTTAAAGGGCCAGATCCGCTGGTTTCTCACCCTCTCTGCTCGTTCACTCCCCGTCTTCGCCGAGCCAAACGCCTCCCCCTCCGCTACCACTGTCTGTCCACTCCTCTACCCCCTTCCTCCTCCTCCTCCTCCTCCTCCCTCTCTCCTTCTTCCTCACTCCATCCGATCCGGTGACAGCACCTTTAACCCAGGGGCTCCCAAAAACAAACATTCACATATATCGCCCGAATGCATCCACCAAACGAGAAGAGTTTGGATATTTTCAATATCTCATCTTTTTTGTTGGAGGACCCCTGGTGCCCCATCAGGACCCAAGGCTTTTACAGCACTGTACATTAAGCAGAATGAAGTAGATGGGGTAACACTTGCATAAATAAAAAGCCCCATTCAACATTGATTTGTATGTCTCTGCCTGCTCTCAGTTTGTAGACCATATCTTTATTTAACAATTAAGTAAAAAAAAAAGTTTCTTGCTTGATCCCCTCGAAACCTCTTATTTTGGAACCTTGATGTGTCGTAACAACTTATAGCCTATATAACAGCACAATTCTGATCATTTGTATCTATTGATAATGATAGCTCAGATTGCATGGAAATATTCTATTAGATTACTGAATTTGCCTGAATATTTTCATTCTATATGAAAATAAATAAAAAATACCCTTTACTTATATAGCCTTATCACAAATGCTGTATTTTGAGTGGCCCAAATATTTTGTATACATTTCAGATATTTTTTCTCGTTTATTTCGAACGTCTCCAACATATTGCTTTAAATATTCTTCTGATTATAATATGTGATAAGTAGCACACCCTAAATGCACTAGAAAGATGTGTCTAATATGTTAAAGCTTGATAATATGTTTTTCTTTGTAAACTTGTTTTTGTACGATTAACGAATGCATGAAAACTAGATTTAAGTGAATTAATTGATTTGACTTTGATTTCCCTCATCGGTGCATGCATTAAATGAAATGATTTCTATCCATGGTACTTTTGGACTTGTTAGTGCTCAATAAAGTACACTGGCTTGTAATTTGTTTTTCTGCTGTAAGATGTGCATAAAATAAGCCATATTTCGCAACTGTACCATGATTCAAATGCAACCTGCACGTACGTGTCGAGTTGTGTACCTCACAGTCGCTATGCCTCCGCTCCACATGACGGCACTGCGCTGTGCTGCCACACGGTGGCGCCCTTCACCCAACTGTATAGTTCCGTCCACTCCGGGGAGGTGTGGGCCGCTCCTGCTATTCCTGGCAGGCCCGCGTAAACACGCATCGGAGCTGATAGTCCACTCCTCCACACGGAGCTTAAAAGTGCTGCATCTGCTGCATGATCATTGGCTGAATGTGGACGATTCGCACTGTGGTGAAGAGGTGACAACAGGTCTGATGAGTAGGAGATTATTTATTTTACCCTAAATCTTTATTTGTTGGGTCCATGTAGACAATGATGTTGACATTGACGGAGATGTGCATTCGATAGAGCTGCTTTGATGCACACACACGTCTACAGCCATGTCTTCCTCGTGGCTGTATGGAAACCTGAAGTACTTATTATAACCACAAGAGAGCTATTTATAACTCACACAGAATACCGCATTGGCCTCGTTTCCATTGATGTGTGAAATTATGCTGATGCATATACATTTCTCTCTCATTTCCTCACCTTTTAGCCATATCTTTCACCATCTCCCCCGTTTATTTGTCTCACTTTCTTCTCTGATTCCACTCTCTGTATTCCCTCTGCAACCCCCCTCTTGTTGAGGAGGCAGTGTGGTTACAGTGGATTACAGCAGGGCTCTTCATCTTCTAAGAAATGAGCGGTGGAAGCCCATGAGTCACGACTGAAAGATGCTCTCAGGCTGACAGTGGTGACACCCACCCACACCTTCTTTTGTTTGTCCCGGCCTGCTCTGAGCTGTCATACACAGACTTTCCCAAATGACTAGAAGCACACGTGTGCATGTCTCTGCGTGTGTTTGTGGACACGAGCATCGTCTCATTAGGACACAGCAGAGGGCTTCGCCACAGTGTCCCTTTGGGGGGGGGGGGG